CCCGGCGCTGCAAAGAGCTTCCGTAATGAGATGGAAGTGCCCCCTCCCCTCGTACAGCGTTCGAAAACGGCGCCTCGGCTTTTGCGGTCGTTTTCAGTCGGACGAAGGGAATTTAAGGACACCATACGGTCTGATGCCTCCCCCCGCACTCACGCCCTCTTGTCTCTTTGCAGCCGTCAAGATCATCGTCGGCATCCCCACCTTCGGCCGCAGCTGGAAGCTCAACGCCGAGAGCGGCATCTCCGGGGTGCCCCCCGTCGTCGCCGACGGCCCCGGTGACGCTGGCACCGTGACCAAGACCCCCGGTATCATGGCCTGGCAGGAGACCTGCCTGCTGCTGCACAACTCCAAGGTCGCCGACGTGCCGGTGAGTGCCGACGACAATAGCACGACCTGATGTCGTATCCATTCGCGGACTAGGAGCCCGTCGGACAACTCTTTACTTTTCCGCCTTCCCCGACGTAAACCTCCCGTGTGTCTTGTCCGCAGAACGACCGCCTGCTGCGCAGGGTGGGCGACCCCAGCAAGCGCCTGGGCTCCTACGCCTACCGCCTGCCCAAGAAGTCCGACGAGACCGGCATGTGGGTCGGCTACGAGGACGTCGAGTCTGCCGGCTACAAGGCAGCGTGGGTCAAGAACAGGGGTCTCGGTGGCATCGCCATCTACGACCTGTCCATGGACGACCCGCGCGGCGTCTGCGACGGAAACAAATTCCCTATCCTGCGTGCGGCCAAGAACGGCCTGTAGAGAATTAATTGTTTCCACTTTTGGGGCCCTGTCCGCGTGAACCGCGGATTCAGTGGCGAGCACATTACTGTGTTTTTCTTTTCTGAAACAAAAACTTAGCAAGGCTGTGATTTCTCGTAGGAAAACCGCGAAAAAAGGCGAGTTTACCGAATAATATTTCTATATTTGTTTAATTTTAACAAGGAGGTAGAACTATCAAATAAATTTACCTTCACTAATCTAGACCGTGACACGAAAGACATCCCTATCGAGTACTTAAAAAAAATATTGATACGTGAAACTGACAAAATTTGTACCTTTCTACAAAACCAATAAAATTGGCTTTCTTTTCCTAGAATTTTTTAAAACCAAATTTTTCTTTTAACCCGAAGACGGTGAGAGGGGTACTCCAGAACAAGTATCTCCACGCCATCCAATCCCATTCAATCCACTACCGCAGCTGGCCTCGCGGCCACGGAGGCACTCGCCGCCCAAGCAGATAGGCAACTCTAGTACCGGCAGAGTGTCCGGCGCGCTCCTCAGTGGAGTGAAGCCACGCCAGAGAGGTAGGCAACCCATTCGACCTGGCGCCTGCATGGGCTGGCGCGGCACCATACGTGGAGCAGCGAGGGAGAGATAAGAGAGGGGGAGAGGGAGGGGGAGTGAGAGAGAGAGAGAGATAGGGGGGAGGGAGACGAGAGTCATCACAGGCGGGCGCTGTCTGCTTTACATTTGAAGCGCATGCCCCTTTAACGCGCACAACGACGGGACCGCCTCTCTGAGCGCGCTCGCCAGAGAGCCTTCTGTGCCGAGTTCGGCTATACAACTCCCACCGCGACGGAGCAGTTGGCGGCCCATTTGACAAAACTCCCACACACCCTCTTCAAACGTCGAACACCACCGAGGAGGCGGGCAGCTGGACGCGAGCACCGAGCACGTCGGTGACGGAGAGGACGAGCGGCGGGCGGCGGGACTGTCCCGCACCTGCCGGCCCCTTTGGCGACGTCCTTGGCCCCGCGCGGCGTCCTCACAGGTTATGCGAAAAGTTTCAAAATTGGCCACCAGGGCGCGCGGCGGGGCGCGAGCCTTCGCTCTCTTACTTTCCAAGTTGAATACCCCTGGCCTCATTACGGATGGGTCCGGGGTGGCGGCCCCCGCGGCCCCTCACCGCACCCGACATGGCAGCCCCGTGAATACCACGACGTGGAGCGTCGGCGGGGGTACGTGAGGAGGGGCACTATGGAAATGCACAGGGCCCCTGTCCCCCTCCCCCCCGCCCCTCC